ACTTAATTTGCAAAACTAATAAGATTTGTTTTCTTTGCATATGGATTTCTTTATTTTACATTAAAATCTGGGCAAGATGTCAAGTCAGCTGCACCTTTAGAAATATGTTTTCTGAGAAAAATGGTGACGTGTTCAACACTTATTTTTCCTGCTGTATATTGTGCAGCCCTACACTGGATATTGAAAATCAATGTGTCTAGATGTTGGACTGTCTCCTGTACTTAAGGCATTGTGCAGATAATAAGAGATGTTAAAACATGAAAAGCAAGCAAAGACACTTAAGCTGCAGTTTTAAGTCAAACAGACCAATAAAAGTTCTGGTCAGAGTTTCTAAAATATCAAAAACATCACAATCACAATGAAGTTAACAATGCTCTTCAGCACATCACCCCTATGCTCCAGTCAGTACAGTGACTCTTTTATACACACCTAGAAGAAGAGTTTAACTTGTGCTGCTGATGGATATGAATTGGTCATGCCAAAACATGACCTAAGCTCCAGCTGCATGATAAAGGTGTTTTTGCACGATGTGCAACACTCTGCAGATTCAACACCTGCTACACACGTGTCTTCCTCCTTGAAATTCTCATATCTTCACACATGCTTTTTTCCACTCATTGGCAGCAGAGGTGGTGGCACACACACACTAATATTCCACAGCATCATTATGCACTGGTGTGCTGTCGCAACAAAAATGCAAACAGCTTTAACAAATGCAACTTTTGCAACATACTCTAAACATACTTGAGAAATGCACACATAAGCCAAATCATATATGTATAGGACAAAAACATTAGCAAGTGTTTACAAATAAACTTGTGATTTCTTACTAACTAAAGCATGACTGGATCTTTCAACACTTTTTTTTATGCTTTAACACTTTTTTATGCTTATGAGAAAGTCTATTTCCATAATCAGACCAGTGTGCACAGTATATTATAAACTAAAGGTGTCAACACTGAACCATTGCTACAGTTTCACAATTAGAAAAGAAACGGGGATTAAACAAAAATAGCAACTAAATACTGAAGACAGCAAAAAACAACAGACATTTTGACAAACGCTTAAGTAAGGAGATTAAAACATGTTCATAACATTACTAAAGAGCACAAACACATTTTGACAGTGAAAATATTTAGAGATGAAGGGTGCAGAAATTGGACCAAGATGAGTCTGCGTGTGTGTGTACTTTTTTTATATCCTGGTGGGGACTTAAACCTGAATGCATACAGAAAGTTGGGTTATGGCGCTGTTGTTTTGCTTTTCCTGTAAGGTAACTACTGAATATATGAGAGTCCCCTCCGGGATACAGCAACAAATCTGTGTTTGTGTCTGTGTACTGGTTTTCACACATACCATCACATGGAGAATACTTTAAAAACTTGTTCATTTAGCTGTGTGAATACATTAACAGTCTATTATATATAATATAAATATATAAAGTTATTTATATATATATATATATATATATATATATATATATATATATATATATATATATATATATATATATATATATGTATATATATATATAAAGTTAATAAATAAAAACATATACCTTAGGAATGGTATGGTTATAAATTTTGATGGTTTTAAAACCTTGACTTTTCCAAACCACAGTAAACCCTTAAAAATGGTTATGGTCCCATGCCTAGCTGACGCTTGTTTTTTATTTTTAAATAACTGAAGAAATTTGAAGCTGTTTTGTTAGCATACCCCAGAATAGCAAAAAATAAATAAAAAATAAAAATTATAAGTATTAGTTCAGCCATGTTTAGGGTCTAGAGCCATTTTATTGGCGTTGCTTAAAAAATGTAAAAATAAACCTAGGCACCAATTCATTTTCTAAACATTTATTCAAAACTACCCATTTTGCAGAAAAAGTGTTTAAAGAATTTAGTGAAGAAAAAGCGAATACCTTTCTGTTCCACAGTCAAGAAGTCAAGATCCAAAAAAATTAATTTTTGCCCAAAGGCTAGTGTTTTCTTCCCGGCGTAACCCACGGCGCAGGCAACGCGCGTGGCTGTGCATTTATACTTCTGCGCGCTGTCTCTGTTGGTCTGCATTAACACTTCCGAAACGCTAGTTGGCAGTGAGGTGTAAATGTTTCTCTGTGTCGAGTTTCTTCGCTGCTGTTTTGCTTTTCCTGAACACTTCCGGGATGTATAAGTGGCTCAAACTCGCTCATTTTGAGGCAGCAACCGGCGTACGTGCAGTAACTTTAACTATGAGGTAAACAAAACAAAACTTTCCATCCGGAGCACCTTCACGGGACACTTGTAAATGGGTTCGCGCCATTCGCGCGGCTCTTGGTCCCACCCTGACTCGTCAGCGCTACCAAGCAGACCAATCACAGAGCTTGCGCTACGCGTTGTTGCGATGTGTAGTTACATTTTTTGAGAGGTGCACGTCAGTGACGGCGATGGCCACGGCAAAGGGCTATGCGTTAGCGCCGTAGCATACGCCGGTGTTTGACACAGAAGTATAAATCAGCCTTAAGGGTGTACTCACACTATGCTATCCAAACCATACCCAGGCTTGTTTCCCGGGTTGTTTGACAAGTGTGAGTGCTCCGAATCAGGTTCAGGCAAGAATCAGTTGGCCGGCACTGGTGCAGTTGGAAGTGCCAAAGCATGGTTCAGTTAGGTTTTAGCATGGTATGCTTGTAGTGTGACTGCAAAGCCTGCATGAGCCCAAATCTGAAGACCTGACGTCACTTTTAAGGGACTGTTTCATATGAATTTATTAATCATTCTTACTTTTTAATGAACGAGAACTGTCATGGTTTATTATAGATGCATACCCCTCACTGCAAGTCAGTTGCCACCTTCAGCAAACCTGCAGTGCGATGACTATGATTGAATTGATGAGCGTCAAAAGTGATGGATCTGTTTGGCAAAATATTTGACTGCGTGCCACTGCGTACCAACTGATATAGCTAAAGCAATGTCCACTGTGCTGAGCAAGAGAGCTTCTCTTTTGTTAAAATGGGCAGTCGCATTATCGATGATGTGAGCGTGCTCAGGTTCGGAATGTAAAGATGCAGTGTGAGTGCAGACTGTTGAGGGAGAGGGGAGGGGGGACAATGGCACTTCGGCACGGTTCAAGGAAACTGTACCTAATGCGAGTATACCCTAAAAACGGATGAACTGTGGTTCATTGTAAGTTACTGACAGCACATAAAATGGTTGAATTTGTTCTCAACAATCTGCTGGATCATAAAACCAACTCGGGCTACCACAGAGGAACAAATGACTTCCTAAAAGCATCATTATCTTCATCTCAAAAGGGTGTGGGCTGATGAACCTCCAGCCTGAACTTTCAACAATCCCACTGACCTCCAGCCAGTGAAGACATTTCCTTTCTTTAGCTGTCTTCAATACATTCAGAGCAGAAAAGAGCTGGATTTACAGACTATGTGAGAGGAATGACACTAAAGAGTTAGTTTACAGACATAGACTAAGCCTAAGCTCTAACTCTAAAGGGATTTTCAGTGGAGAAGCACCCCGGACAGAGCGGTTTAATCCACGTTTGGTCTTAATCTTCACCTAGGAAACAAACCAGCAGGGTTTCAGAAGACAAGCTGAAAGTTTACAGTGCTTTAAGTTGATTGCTATGATTAGAAGTTGCTTAACCAGCATGAAACCCAATGCAAATCTTTCCTTAAAGGCATAGTGCAGCCAAAAATGAGCATTTACTATTCATTTACTCATGTTTTTGCTTGTGTGTCGTTATGTGAATGAAGGTCACACCACAGACTGTTATGAATAACTAAAATAAAGAATAAAAATAAATAAAAAAGTTATTAAAATATCAGATGGCGTATGAGGGACAATTGTAATCATTTCTCAAGATTTGGGTGACCGATTCCTTTAAATGTTGCTTAAATAACTGAGTTAAAATTGGTTTTATTTTCGCACATTGGTTCATTTTTGAACAGTGACAACTTGTGACAGGGTCTCTATATTGTTTACCACAGTACTTTAAATATTCGGTCTGAAATTTCATGTAAATATGACCAAAACAACATTAGCACTATTTAATTGACTGTGAACAATGCTGTACTCTGATAGTCATTGGCTGGTAATATGATTTCACTGTTTTGTATTTGCAAACAATACTTTTCTGACATTATATTGAGGAGAAAGGCCAAGTGTGCGAACAAAAAAAAAACAACTTTACCCCAGTGCTAAACAAACCATTGTCATACTGATGATCTAGTGCATGTTGTCTATAGATGATTTGTATTTTCAACAATTTCTTCCAAATGTTTTATCTAGAATAATCTTTTTACTAATTTAAACAACATGTGCCAACAATGTTTCTAAAAGAGTTTTGAATAATTAATTATTATTTTCATATCTAACAACTGTCTCAAAACAGATACGTTTTATCCAATTTTAAAAATCTGTTGGGGATATTTGGATTCTGAAGCAAGTCTAGATAGATAGATAGATAGATAGATAGATAGATAGATAGATAGATAGATAGATAGATAGATAGATGACATTACAAAAAGATAAAATAAAACAAAAATTAAAATTGGAACGAAAACCCTACTCAAATTTGCAAAAACACCTCAAAATAAATACAAAACTGTTCTGTTCCATAACAGAGAAAAGTTGTTTGGACAAAGCTGAAAGTTACAGCATACTATGAACAACAAGAAACTATGAATCTTTTAAGCAAATTAGATTTCTTAAAAGATTTGTAATGCGTCGATAACTTTTAATGGGAGTGTTTCGCTAGTGGCGTCGCGTTTTAAACGCGCAGCGGCGTGAACAGGCCCACCTCACCCGACCTGAAACTTCAAACAACTCAAAGGAATTTAACACGACAAGACTTTCCATTCCCTCATGCACACACCGAAAAACACAACTTGTAAAACAGCAAAACTACGCGAACGCTAACTATTCAGCGAAGTAAATAACCAGAGAGCAAGCGTTAGGAAAAAAGACAACACCCAGAATGAAAGTAAGTCAAAGCTCCGCTCTACTCACCCGTACTTGGGTTTTCCAGGAAAAAAACTATCCGCTTCGACTGTTCATTCATGCATTTTCTGGTGGGGTTTCCAGTCGTGAGGCGGCTGAGAGAGTGAAGTCCACTGGTGAAAGTGTTTTCGGTGGTAATGAGCGGCTGTTTGGAGAGGTTTGAGGGAGTTTGCGGAGGAATCCTGCTCGCGGTGAATGTTGTCGCAGGCGCAGCTCGGGCTGGAAGTTCCTGTTGCGCTCGACAGGGACATTCAACAGGAAACTCCAGCGCCGCGCTACCGCACACCGCCGGCAGGGGACGTTCAGGATCAGAGGCGTTCAGAAACAAGTAGCATACTGTAGTCACACTGTAGGTAGTAGGCTGTGTTAGGTAAATTACTGATTACCACTGAAAAACTGTAATCTGATTATATTACTAATTACTTCAAGTAAAAAGTAATCAGATTACTGTTTACTTTGAAGTTACTTTTAAAATATACATATAAAAATACAAAATAAACTGCAGCTCTTTCTGTAATTCAATATTCACTGAAAAAAATAATACAATGGGTTGATCACAGCAGCTTAACCTATTTAAAAGACTTAAAGAGTTCACCCAAAACTTAAAATTCTCTTTTTATTCACTATTTTTCAATCCTGTTTGTCTTTTATTTATTAATTTATTTAACACAAAAGACATGAAGACAACCTGTAACCACTGACATCCAAATCACTGCAGTGTTTGGGCATTCCACGCTTTTCCTCAAATTCAGAAGATACCTTCACTCCCGATCCTGCACAAAACTCCTATTTAGCCTGTTTTGGGTGTAGCATGTTTTTGGGCGCCGGTGTCCTCCTTGGTGACGAGTATTGTCATAGAATGCTTTCTATTCAAGTGCTTTAAACAAGTTACTGGTCGAGTTAAAATCAAAGTTCTTTAGAGGCTGGAAATAATCTGCATTTCACAGTCATATTTTTGTTTTTAAACTGAATGAAATCAAAGTAGTGTTTGTATTTCCACTTAAAGCAAATATTCTCATCAGCAACCATTCTAACTCGCGTTCTCCAGCAATTTAAAAGCAAATCCTCATTAACTTACGTTGCAGTGCAAAACGTGATTTAAAAGAAGCATTGTTTTCTTCTAAAAACTATATTTGTAATGTAAGTAACGTAATTACATTGACTTAAGTAATTGTAATCAAATTACACACATTTAAAATGTAATAAATTACACTGCGTTCCCCAAAATGTAATTAGAATACAGTAACGCGCTACTGTGGAACACGTTACATTTTAAACAATATTATTATAAAAATATTTTAGTAGAGGCTGCGTCATATTTGCAAATACATACATACCTACTGTATTATTTGCTTTTATCTTATCAATATTTTTTCTTCATTTTACATACGTCCGTACATATTTGTTTTCCAATTTTGTGTATTTATTTCCTGTAAGAAATGCATTCTGATTTTTTTTTCTCTCTTCACAATATAAATTCAGATATAAAATTTATAATTTTTTTGTAAACCGTAACCTTAATTTGATGGATCAGAAACATATATAATGCTTTAAAAGTAAAAAAAAATAATAATAATAAAAATAAAATAAAAACTAGGGCAAACATCATGAGAGTGTACTGAATTTTAAGTACATTTTCATCCGTGACATGGAATTTTGTGCTATTACGAATCAATTTTTTATTTTAAATACTTTCGAACATATTTTTCCATTTTGTGTATTTATTTCCTGTAAGAAATGCCAGTTACATTCAGAATAGATTTTAAAGTATTATTACTGGTCTATAAATCACTAAATGGCCAAGGACCTCAATACATTACAGATATGCTCACTGAATACAAACCTAACAGATCACTCAGATCTTTAGGATCATATAAACTAGAAGTTCCAAGAGTTCAGTCAAAGCAGGGTGAATCGGCTTTTAGCCACTATGCCCCCCGCTGCTGGAATCAGCTTCCAGAAATGATCAGATGTGCTCCAACATTAGGCACATTCAAATCAAGACTAAAAACACATCTGTTTAGCTGTGCCTTTACTGAATGAGCACTGTGCTGCGTCCGACAGATCGCAATATTATGTTTTTCGTTTTCTTTTTCATTCTTTTATAACCTATTAACTCATTTTAATTTGTTTTTATCTGTTTTTAATAATTTTTATTGTCTGCATTTTATGTTCCTAAACTTGTCTTTTGTATTCCTGTTTATGTAAAGCACTTTGAATTGCCACTGTGTATGAAATGTGCTATATAAATAAACTTGCCTTGCCTTGCCTTGCCTTGCCTAAGAAATGCACTCTAAATTTTATTTTATTCTCTCTTCAGAATGTAAATTCAGATAACAAATTCATCATTTCATATATAATTCTGAAAAAAGATTGATCTTTTATAGTGTCGATTGATCTCGAAACCAAATATCCTAATTTTATATATTAGAATATAACTATAAATAATACAGTGCTTAGCATATATAAGCAGACCCCTCACAAATCTCTCTTTTAAATTCATATATGTTTAATAGGAATTTCTACAATATTATTTGTGTGCTTATACATTAGATTAGTACTGAAGCCAAATCTGTTGCTTATCTAACAAAATAACTTCCGATAATGATCTAATAACTATACACCCAAATTTATGTTATAGAAAAATATTAAATACAAATTTTAGAAAGAGGAAAAATCAAGATTTTTTTTAAATAAATTGTGTTGGTTGTATATATATGTATATATATATATATATATATATATATATATATATATATATATATATATATATATATATATATATATATATATATATATATATATATATATATATACTTTTTACAATATTTTGCTTGAATTTAATTGCATTATCTTTCAATTGCTAGATATGTTTGGAGAATAAGATATTATTTTAATAAATATATCTGTTTAATAAATCTGTTTTGTTTAAATGCACCAAAATACATTGCCTATATTCACTGAGAAATGGATCAAAATATTCATTTTCAAAATGTGGTGTACTCCATTATGCTGAGCACTGTACATTTGTATATTTAAATCAACTGATAGTCAATTTAAAAAAAAGAAAAAAAAAGGAAAATTGAAAAGTTTTTATAACTTAATAAAACTCTATGAACTATTAATTTGAAATTGAACTTTGTGACAACATAAGTTTTCCAATTTCATGAATTTTTGCTGAAAAAAAGTAATATTAATTTAGGTCAAATTTAACATTTTAAAATAAAAGTGTTTTATAGTGTAACTTTAAAGAACATAAGTTTGTTTATATAATGTAACCAATGTTTTCAACATGTTGTTATGTTTCCTTACTGAAAAAAAGTTAAAAAGTCTAAGGAAAATCATGAGTTTGAAACACAATTAATTATTAAAGTCATGAAAATTATTTTAATATGCAGTAGCCCATTCATCACAATGAAAAATGACTTTACGCAACCACAACATATATAAATATAAGCTTGAACTGCATACAAATGTAGTCTACAATTTTGGATTTTAGCTTATGTTATGTACACTACTTAAATTCGAGCGTGCCTATTGCATGTTATATACATAATTGGGATTACTGGCATGTGCGCTTCATATATCCGCTACACGTACAGGACACTTAATATTCACATCTGACACTTTCACCTGTAACACTGAGTATCTTGATGCAGCAACTGTTTTATAGACAAAGTAGACGACGAAACACAAGATTCACTGTTCACACAAACAAAGTGCTACTTCTGTACCAGTGGAGTGCTATTGTGATTTTGCGTCAGACGTCTGGCAGAAATGAAGAGAAACAGTACAGTAGCCTTCATGCAGCAGTACAATAAATAATCTGTCTTGTGTTCGCTGCTCTGGATTGACAGCATGTTCGATCGGTTAACACTGTTCAAATCCAGCCATTAGTGACATCGCCAAGGACTCCACTGTAAAATAATAAAGAAACAGGTATGGTAAAACAACATAATTCTGGTCTGTAAAAGCATTTCATTCCATTATAAATTTTTAATTTATATGAATTGTTATATATACAGTTGAAGTCAAAATTATTATTAGCCCCCAACCCCCCCGGTATATTTTCCCAAATTCTGTTTAACGGAAAGAAGATTTCTAAACAGTAGTTTTAATAGCTCATTTCTAATAACTGATTTCTTTTATCTTTGCCATGATGACAGTATATAATATTTTACTACATATTTTTCAAGATACTAGTATTCAGCTTAAAGGGCAATTTAAAAGCTTAACTTGGTTAATTAGGGTAATTAGGCAAGTAGTTGTATAATGATGGTTTGTACTGTAGACTGTAAAAAATGTATATGTTGCTTACGGGGGAATAATATTGATCTTAAAATTATTTTAGCCGAAGTAAAACAGATAAGATTTTCTTCAGAAGAAAAAATATTATAGAAAATACAATGAAAAATGCCTTGCTCTGTTAAACATCATTTGGGAAATACACTCACTGGCCACTTTATTAGGTAAACTGCCCAACTGTTTGTTAACACAAATTTCTAATCAGCCAATCACAGGGTAGCAACTCAATGCATTTAGGCATGTAGACATGGTCAAGACAGTACAAGACTGGGCATCAAAAGGGGTGAAGAAAGGTGATTTAAGTGACTTTAATGGTGGCATGGTTGTTTGTGCCAGAGGGGCTGGTCTGAGTATTTCAAAAACTGCTGATCTACTGGGATTTTCACACACAACCATCTCTAGGGTTTACAGAGAATGATCCGAAAGAGAGAAAATATCCAGTGAGAGGCAGTTCTGTGGGTGCAAATGCCTTGTTGATGCTGGAGGTCAGAGGAGAATGGCCAGACTGGTTCGAGCTGATAGAAAGGCAACAGTAACTTAAATAAACACTCGTTACAACTGAGGTATGCAGAAGAGCATCTCTAAACGCACAACACATCCAACTTTGAGACGGATGGGCTACAGCAGCAGAAGACCCCACCAGGTGGCACTCCTGTCAGCTAAGAACAGAAAACAGGCTACAATTCGCACAGGCTCACCAAAATAGGACAATAGAAAATTGGAAAAACGCTGCCTGATCTGATGAGTCTCGATTTCTGCTGCGACATTCGGATGATTGGGTCAGAATTTG